TGATTTCTGATAATTTTACAAACAAGGAAACTCATTTAAATAAAAGTTTTGTGCATTTTTCGTGCAATGGTGTTTTTAATCATGCAATATAAAATACTGATTGATTTAAAATATTTATGATGCCTTTATTAAAATTAAAAAAACTTTTTTTTAAAAATGTAACAGTTTTTTGTTCTTTTTAGTATTTAAAAAGTTTATTATCATTACTTTCAAGGAATAATGTTTTAGATTTTTTTTTAAAAAAAACATTAACACAAGTTTTCTCTAATTATTTTTAATTATAAATTAACTCAAATGAACATTAAAATCTACACATATATTAAATTTAATGTTAACTTTTGCACTAAGCAGTTTTAAATAAAAGACAGCACTAAAGGAGAGCATGAACAATAAATGAGTACATTTATTAATTTACATTTGAAATTTAAAGTCCATCTTTGCATTTATTTGGCACGTTTAATTGGTAATTAATGCTACTTTAGCCTTGCCAAACAGTTTTATTTAAGTTTTTCAAGAATAGACAAAAGAATTTTGCTATTAAAGACTTTTTTTAATATTGAGACTTAAGAGTTCAAGAGTTTAGACTTAACTGATAAAAGTCTTAAGGTGTGCACTCAAAAATATAATTTAGGTATTTTGGCGGCATCTATCAGCTGTGGGTACTCAATTTCTCATCCTCTACTTATCGGTTATAAGGACCATAAATAAGCTATTCTTGTTTTGAATTGAAACCGCGACTAATTAGAGCAAATTTTAATATCAGAGTAAATAAAATATCTATCGTGATATTTTCTCCATTAAACTAATTTCTATAATAATGTCAATATTTTTGCTGCTTAAATAAAATGAAACAATATTCACTATAATATCGTATTCAATAAAGTTTTATATTCAATACGTTATTGTCAATACGTTATTCAATACGTTATTGTCATACAGTCCCTGGTCAAATTATTAGACGCACTATAAGATTCTATGTAAAACCTAATTATCAGGGGATACTATACAGCTTGAACCGGTTTGCACTTGCTTACGTTCGTGTATCAATTAGTTAAATTCGACGATATATAATAGAAATTTGACGATTGGATAAATTAGGCGATATATTACATAAATATAGAATATTTATTATATCAGAGTGTCGTACAGTGCTGGGTGAACGAAAAATCTATTTTAAATCAATTTAACTTAGCCATTGATCGTATATTAAAAAAAGATGGTTGATCCGCAATAACCCTATAAAAGTAACATAATAAAAATCTAAAGAAAAAGAACACAAAACATAATACCTCTTCTAGTTTAGTTGAAAATATAGGCTAGTCGTAAAATTGCAGTTGCCAGAAAAACCTTTTATTTGGATCTAAAAGCATCGCATGACTCATCGCATGAAGCACAAAAGGATCACATGACTCACAAAATCATCTTGGTAGTGTGGAGAGGCACACTTGGGGATCTCGTCAGAAAAGAAGACTCAATCAACAAAAAACTATTCCGGAATCGTGGCTTTAATTCCATTGACAGCCCAATGACGGGTATAAAAATCATCTTGACGAAAATAATGTTGTGAAATCATTATGATGAAAATAATGTTGTGAAATCATTTTGATGATCATCAAAATGATTTCACAATAAAAGATGGCCTGTGCATAATTCCTCCAAGCACCCTTAAGGAGGAAGGGTGAAACGGTAAAAAACAGTCCGAATAAAACGGACCCGTGAGATGTACTTTTAACTGATACAAAAATCGAATGCACGCGTTTAAGATTCATCAGAGGCCAGGATAGCCTGGTCGGTAGGGAGCTGGGCCCATGTACGAGAGTTCGTGGGTTCGAACCCTGCCGGCCGAAGACTCCCCGTGTAGTAAAATGAGACTGATGCACGTTAAATCTGTCGAGTCGCAAATTCCTCCATGTTCCCATAGCAAATCAATACCTCTGGGGGTACTGGATTGGAGATCGATCGTTCTCTGATTCAGGTCAAAATTACGATCTGTGGATGAATAAATGGATGTGTGAATGGGTTCGCCCCATAAAAACGGGCTGAGACGTGTGTGTTGCTGAAAACGATTTCTTGGCCATAAGATTCCTCCCCTGAAAAACAAGAAACACACACTCTGCCTTAAATTTGCTCGGTTTCACCACGCAGGCTTGTCCGTGTGACAAGTGGTATTAGAAACAACAACAACAACAAGATTCATTAGTCCCTTAAAAAGGAAAATGCTAAAGATAAGTTGCAGTTAGAAAAAATTAGAAGTTACAGTTAAGACAGGAGTAAAAAGGTAAATAAAAAGTTAAATTGTTTAAAAATTTTAGCTAGTTACGGTTAAGAAGTAAGAAAGAGTGTGGAAGTAAAGGGTTTCACGTGGAAACTACAAAGACAGCCGACCACCTGCGATTCTAGGAATTGAAGGGAAGCGACATTCCAAACCATTTCAAAAGTGTAAAAATACAAAATTGATTGCAGGGACTATGTAAAATTACGATCTAAAAATTAGTGAGTGACACAATGTCACACGGGAATTATATTATTATATTATAATAATTAGACCAAATACAATGGATTTTTATTCAGGAAATTTTTTGTATACTTCCCATTTGTATTTATTTTCAACGTATTGCATTACAATGTTAACCAGTTAATTCACGAACGTAAAGAAGTGCAACCCGGTCTCAGTCTCGTACAAGCAATAAAGCTGTATAGTATCGCTTGATGATTAAGATTTTACATAGAATCTTACAGTGCGTCTAATAATTTGGCCAGGAACTATATGCCGAACGGCCTGTGTAGGGGTCAGGGAACTGGCCTTGAATCAAAAAGGTTCTGGGTTCGAATCCAGGGCAAGGCATGGGTGTTTTTTCCTTCTCTGTACTATCTGTCCTTTCTGTGGGAGCAATGTTGGCCCAGCTAATATAGTGCCCCTGGAAGAGTGTCTAACAAATCTGCCAATCAGATGCCTGTATGACAAAAGGTCATTCTCTAGGGGGTGGGGCATTAGAAAAAAAAACTTTATTGTCATATTCCGTGCACTCATACGTATTATTGGTAGTGACCTGCGTAACCTGGCAATGTTCTACTTGTTGGAGGTGTTGTTTTGAGTTCCATCAAAAAGTCCTCCACGAAGACAAATTTCTCCCAATACTTGATGCAGCAGTTCCCTTGTCTTCTAAATTGGGTTCAAAATTACAAGGCTACGGGTTGATCATTAGTAGTCGTAAGCCTACATTATTGAGTCAGCTGTTCAACGATGGTTATAAAACAAAATAAAATATAAGCTTATGATATTTTTATTTAAAGCATAATAATATAAAGTTTGAGAATTTAAAATTCGTGACCAAAAATATGTGCACAATTAATTATTATCATCTGATATTATAATGATTTAGTACTAGAATTTAATAACTAACGAAACCTTAAAATTGATATCCTGTTGAATAATAAAGACATTTATGTTTAACCACTGACGGTGAAGGATAATAATTCGTCAATTTTCGATAACTTATGTTAGCCTGCATATTTGTTTTTAGCACACTTTACTTCTGCATTTAATCTATTAATTTAGCAAACCTTAAACATATTTAATTTTTTTAGTGGTTTCGTCTGCTTCTATGCTGTTAAAAATGCTGTTTTCATGACAGTCTGCTTCTTTGTTGCTTCAAAGGCTGTTTTCATGACAGCACACGTTTTAATCTACCCTTTAATTTTTTTTCATTGATGAATTTTTACGCTTTAATGTTTTTCATTATTGAAATTTTACATTTTCGATATCATGCCAGAGGTATATAATGCTGGGAAGAGGTGATTGTTTACAAACCACTCCTTGAAATTTTCAAAGCATTTAAAAAAAACACGATCCAAATCAGTACTCCCGTTCCTGAGTTATTTGTAAACATACAGACTGACTTTCGCTTTTATATATAGAGATAAAATAGATGTGCTTCCGGAAAAACACAGTGATAAAAATTCTTAATACGTCTTTATCTGTTCCGTACACTCAGCATCTATGTATTTTAATATAGTTTATATTCTATAGCATCTTCTAGTTTTGCCTTCCACTTTTTATTTATTATCCATACCAAAGCTTTTAGATGAATTTTAAGCTCATTTGAGGAAAGCTTTAATGCCAAAAATTCATTAAAAAGATCACATAAAATTCATTTTACAAACTTAATGTCAGAATTTATATTGCAAAATATTAAATTCGAAGATGTGATTAGTATTTGACAATAATTGTTATTTTAATTAAATTTTCCAGAATGCATTACAATGCTTTTAAATGGAGGACAAATTTATTCAAATTTAACGGCAGTTGTTGTCATCTCACTAACTCTCTTTGAAAGCTCATAAATTTATTTTCAAGCAGTTATTCAAAGTCGTATTCAGGAACTTGGTTTATACAGTAAAGCGAATGAGTTTTAACAAATTCTGAAGCTAAATGTTAAAAGCAGTTTTAACAAAGCCCAATTAACCACATCTTTTCTACCCCGGATTTAGGAGAAGTGTAGCAAAACGTAGACATGCATATCTTTTGTCATGAATTCAAGGAAGAATTTCCATTAAATCTTATTCTGCTATTTTCTGTACCTTGTTTAAAAGATAAAAGGAACATATATGTTTAAAATGATTCATTAATTCTTTATGTAAAGAGGTCAATAGTTAGTGATAGAAATTTGATCCAAATTGTGGAATAAGAATTTGCAATTATTTATGCAGTTTAAGGGAAATTGAATTCAAAAAAAAAAAGAAATTATTTAGGAATTTATTTATTTTTATAAATATTTATATAAATATATATAGTATAAATATAGTAATAAATGTTATAGAAATATACAGGCGATTATCAAAATAATGGAAACACTTGTGAATAAAAGGGAATCGCTTCATAAGCATTAAAATATAATCTTAGCTACCAGTTTCTTTAATATAAAAAGTACATATATTAGGTGGTATGAGAGAGCTTTAGCAGAGTTGTCTACGTTTTGATTTTTTGTCAGAAGCGTAAAATGTCAGACCTCACAGATTTTCAGAGAGGCCAAATTGTAGGAGCCCGACTAGTTGGAGCAACAGTGACCGAAACATCCCAGCTTTTAGGCGTTTCTAGAGGTACGGTGTCTAAAGTCATGACAGCATACACACAGAGCGGAAAGACAAGCTCAGTAAAGCAAAATAGTGGACGGAAGGAGAAGCTGAGTGAAAGAGACCGACGGATATTAAAGCGGATTGTAATGTCTAAAAAGAAAACAACTGCAGCCAAAGTGACCTCAGAGCTCAATCAGCATCTGGATTCTCCAGTGTCAACAATTAAAGTTAGGAGATACCTTCATAAAGAGAACATTTACGGCCATAATAATAAAGGATTCCTTCAAAATCTAGGGTGCTTCCATTATTTTGATAGCCACCTGTAGTTATAAATGTTATCACTAAGTTTACAGTAGAAATTTGACTTAACATTGCATGCATTAAACAGCTTCTTAAACTAAAGATTTTTTATAAAAAAAAGGACATTTAGTTGTAATTTATAGCTAATTACTAAATCGTTATTCATTTTTTTAGTTGGTGGTTAACGTCTAACTACAGCCACACTATTGGGCTACTGGTGACATTCTCAGCAAGCCGAGTATTCTTACAAGCCGAACATCAACTTGGAAATACAGGCACCGTAACTTACAGTCCGAGCTTCAACCAAAGTCTATACAAGGCTACGTAACATTCGAGCTGAGCACCTCCATCAAAAACACCACAGCTATCTAACAGCTAAGGGATTGGAAGAGCCCGTCCTAATATAAGGATATTCGAAAAAAATTCAGGTCCGTCGCTGCAATAGGACTTCCCTTCAGGAGAGAAGATGCAAGTTAGCACAATCAAGTATCGATCGAGTCACCCGACAAAGGCAAAAAAAATTTCGAAAAGAAGATGGTAACAGAGTTCAAAGTACAATAGTAATTTCTGTAGTATAACATAGTCTGAAGCAACAATATAGTAATTTGAAGTGTGTATGTTTTTCAAGTGAGGTCAAAAGACCTTTATAAATTTTCCAAAGCAGTGCTGTTCAAAATACAATAAATAAGAGGTGGTTGTAAAATAATATATCAGTTTGGCATAATCATAAGTTAAATGTAAAAGAAATTAGTTAGTCAAAGAACCAACAAGCAAAAGAAATGAAAGTGTGTACGTGAAAGATAAAAATGGCAGAGCATTAAAATCAAAATTGTGTAAAATGTAAAATAGAGAAAGATAAAATTTAAAAATTAAAATATTGAAAAATTAATGAGACTAAATGATTGAAATATAAGCAATGGGGTCAAAAGACCCCCAATAAGGACATCAAAGTTAAAATACTACAGACCAGGTAAATGAGTGAAAGTTAAAAATCAATGGATAAAGTTCAGAAGAAATATAAAATCAATAATGATAGCGTAAAAGAGAAGAATAGAATAAAAGTAAAAACCAAAATTAAAATAATAAGTATAAAGTTTCGAGTTAAAACATAAAGGTAAAAGATATAATAGATGGTACAGTAAAATGGGTTATGATAAATTAAAAAAGTCCAGTTGATCCAGAAACAAAATTTGTATTATTAGTTGGTAATTAATTGTAAATTGTTTGGCCAGCAAATCCTCTAGTGTAGTTTTAATTTTAAAAAAAAAATGAGAACATTTTTTCTGCTAAAAGTACTAAATTGGTCATTAAGAGTCTTAGATTGTACCACATAGTTTTCATAGCTTGTACCATAGTTTGTACCACATAGTCAACAACGGAACAGTTTTAAGATGCAAGAAATAACGTATAATAATATTTTGAAAACTGCAAGTGCCTAGAAGCATTTTTACTTTTTTTCTCTGCTGTCATTAACTGGGCAAATTTAATAGCGTGTTTATATTCCTGAACTTTATTATTTGTAGGACACTAGGCTTCGCCATTAAAAAAAATCTTAAAAATAAGGAATAGAGAATAATGTAAAGATGAGTACAAATACTAGTATGGCAAGGCCGAAGGGGTTTAGTTTTATCCATTATATTCCAACATTTTTATTAATTCGCTCTGAAGAAAAATCATTTTAGTGCAAAAAGAAATTGAATAATTAAAAGAATTATTAAATTGAAATCACTTACAATTTTCTTGCAAACTTCATTGTCGACTTCACTCTAGAAATCAGAAGAATAAATGACAAAGCAATTAAGCTATCGAAATAGCATTTGTTTATTTCATTGTTTAAATGCATGGTTATATTGTTACAGCGTACGAATAATGCTACAACTTGCTTTGTACATACACAAAAATAAATTCGTGTTTGTTTGAAAAGTATTAGCAACAATGTTTCTATGTGTCTTTTTTTTTGGTTTGTTAAAATATCAGTTAATTTAATATTAAAATGGTTTAGTTGATTAAGGACAAGGTAAAAAAAATAGTGAAATTGTCAAATACCACGAGAAATGCTTATCGATTCAAAAATCTAAAAATACACACGCAAAATTTTTCTAAGGGAGGAATGCAGTTATATAGAGCTCGCCCTTCCTATCTCTACCCCTTGGGTTATATATATATACAAAATAAATAAGTAAATAATCTTATAAATCTTTTTATCGAATTTTTACCTACTTCAGAAGTGTTAAAGTTATGGTCCTAGATTAGAATTAACTGTTAGAACTTTCATTCTAAAATTTCTGTAAAACAACAGGTAGCAGTTAAACGTAAAGTTTACGATAAAGAGCATTTTACCGGTTTTGAAACCATTTACGACCAGTATGGTTAAAATATAATTACTACAAAACTATACGGGTATTTTACCATTTTCAACTAACATGGTTTCAAAACCGTAAAAAAATTTAACTGGACATTGGTGCTAGGCTTATCGTTAGATAATCGACATTGAAGCTAGTCAGTGATTGAGAATTCTTTTGGGAATTGAGCCATGGAATGCGGCTTGACTAGCTCATCTAATGGTGCAATCTATCGGAGATGAAAAATAATGAACTTTCTGTGTTAACCAGCTCTGTGATGCTGTCATATATGCTTGAAAGGTAGTTTCGCATTGCAATAGTCCAGACTTGCCAATTGAAGAATGCAAGTCATCGAAAACACCTCATGTATTGACTGAATGGAGGAAATATTGTGATGTCAACGCTAAGATTTGAACCCCAGTTCTTTCGATCATAACAGATTTGACCTTTCAGCTGTAATATGTACCCAGCTGCAGAGAACTAAGTGGCTTCATTAGGTGGGCCTAGTTAGTGCGATAAAATTCTAGTTATTTAACATTATTAGTTTAAAGGTTTTTAAGTTAACCGTTAGTTAATGAACGGTTTTTCTCACAGCTAACAGTTTGAATACAATCTTATTTACGGTTATTTGACTGCTTTGTTTAAATATAGTAAAACAGCATTTAAATAATTTGTTATTTAAACATTTTTTTCGAGAAGCAGTGTATAGAATCGAAATTTTATTTTTAAACCCTTCAAAGAAGACGGGGACAAAAATAGAAAGAATGAGGCTTTTAATTAATGAGAACTTTCAGCGTTTTCAACAATAGCTTGACTAATTGTCCTCAACTCTCGAAGGCTAAAGCATTTAGAAAAGAGATCCCCATTCTTCACTCAAGCTTGTCGTGCAAACAATAGCTTCAGCTTTCCCATCTCTCATTTATTTTTCAAAGCTATTTCAAAAGTTTCTGGAAACTTCTTAGCTTGTTTTAAAGCCCCAAGTCAGAATCTTAAATATTATCCATTTGATTTATATCTTTTGAAAATCATTTCGTTAGAATGGAATCATTTACTTCTGTATCGTATCAATTAAAAAAAAAATCTTATTTTCAACATACTGAAGCTGATAAAGCTTCCTACTTTTAAAACTAATAACGAATATTCAAACTTGTAATTTTGAAATTGTATGGCTGATAATAAATTAATTGAACTATTACAAAATTTACAAAAGCATTAAGTTTTAAATTTTGCTTTTTTTTTTTACTTTTTAGATTTAAATACGCCTTATTGGCTCATTTGTAATAGAATTAATGATCTCTCTTATATAATAAACTTAAAAAATGCCTTATGTAAATGAGTTTTATATTATTCAGAAAATATTTATTTGAATTATAGACGGAAGTCTGAAGACGGCAGTCGATTAACAGAGGGGTTTGCTGTTTAGCTGTTAGGGTTGAAATTTCATATACCACTTTACAGTGAACTCAAATTTTCTCAGTCAAAATGTGCAAATACTTTTTTCATATAATGTACTCTGAGTTTCACTCATATAATAAAAAATATTTACAATAAAATCTGGAAAAACAAAACTTTATTTCAACCACTACCTTGCCATTGCATTTCTTAAGTCTTGACTAGATATTACACTCACTTCCAAAAATTAAGTAAATTTAAAAAAAAGACTATCATTATTTTAATTGACAAGAAATGCTGCAAGATAGTAGCAAATATGCTTATTCGTGAAACAAAACAAAGCATAACTTTCAGGGACAAAAGCGATATTGAATTTGTATAAATTATATGCTGACGTCACTCACAAAATTATGTTTAAAATTTAAACAAATTACAAAATTCAACATTAATAGGGTATTTAAGTACCCCTTATTTTCACACAGAGTGTACAGCGTGTGATCATGCTTGGTAAGAGGTGGTCAACCACTTCAGAGTCCAGTTATCACCACTCTTCTTTTACCTACATTTTACTTCTTCCACAGCTGTATTGTTCTTCCCCTATAATTTTGCATTTCTTGTTTATCTAGAGTCCCTAGATTTATTTCCCTAGATTTTATTGCCCAATCTTATTTAAACATTCAAATTATCAAGCAAAAAATTTTCTCATTGTAAAGTTTTTTGGGGAAAAATTTCGAAGAAATCAGGACAAAATCTAATTTTTTTTTTTCTCTAACTGATAGAACAAGAATCGTTTAGTAGAAGTTTGAAACTGGCCAAAGTGACCGCAGTTGATGGAGGATTTATGAAAGATGTTATTCTTTTTTCCTTCCTCCATGGATGTACCGTTCTTCTCCTATAATTTTGCATTTCTAGTTTATCTAGAATTCCCTATTTTTCCAGTTTTCATGTGTCTAATCCTATCTACATTGCCGAATTATTAAGACAAAGACTTCATGGTTGAGTTAGAACAAAGAACAAAGGAATTAGAACGAAGTCTAAAAAATTTTCTTCTCTCCAACTGATAAAGAAATACCCCGGATGTTTACTAGAAGTTTAAAACTGACCAAAGCAATCTCAGTTGTCGTATATCTACGAGGATTTGTGAAGGACGCTACCATCCACTGTTCTTTCCCTATAATTTTATTTCCCTAGTTAAGACACACCCTGCATGTTTAATTATTCCTTCGTTACAAATTTAAAACTTATCCTGAAATTATGTGGGGGGGGACAATGCGGGAAAAAAGGAAATCATG